CATCTGACTTCTATGGAGTGTTTGAATGAATTGTGAACATTTTAGTACACAAAACCACACATATTGTAAGAAAATGTGTGATTTGGATCCATTAATCTAAAAATAAGAATGAAAAATACTGATACTGGTGTTTTTTTTGTTTTTGTTTTTGTTTTTTTTGTCCATGTGGCAGTGAGTATACACCACACAGCTCACTGTGAACCAGAACTGGAGTTTCAGTTGCAGATTGAACAGAATCTTTACGCATATAAAAATGTAAGAATGTAAGTTCCACTTATCGATTTCATGGCTGTTACTGGTAAGTGGTCCCAGCTCTGCTATGCTGTTGAGATTGGTGTGTGGATCAGTTTTGGGCCCTGTAGTCCTGTGTGTCTAATTGCCATGTGTGTGTGCAGTCTTTGGCTGACTGGACGGCGTCTCGCACTTTCTCCTAGTTTAGAGAGTCCTGTAATGAAGCTCAGACCACTCAGAAGAGACAAGCTGGATCAGCATGTGCATCTAGAAAAGAGGCAAAGAAAGTTTTAAAGAAAGGCAAATTGACCAAAGTTTTGTTTCTTTTAATTTCTTTTAATTAATAGCATTTTTATTAGAGCTTTTCTAGAAGACCTATAGTTGTGCATAAAGTTTAAGCACCCCGGTCAAATTACGTTTTGTTGATTTTCTAAGTGGAGATAAATCAACACATCCTCTGCAGAGAACACACCTCTGCCAACTTTAATGCATAAGTACTGTTTATTAGTTATTTATTAGTTTATTAGAAGTCGTGCACTAAAATTTGTATTCATATTTGTTTGTTCCCTTTATAGGATGTGTTAAATCTTCACTTAGAAAAACAACAAAGTATGTTGAAACCGAGGGTTTTCAGACTTTTGCATACAGCTGTATGTCAGGGGTCCGTTTTGCCTGTTGTCTGGTTCCCTCGGCCACTACATTTTACATTTAGGCTACTAAGAATGCAGAGCCTGTGGCCCGAATGGTCACTTTACTTAGACTATTTTGCATTATTTTTCCCTTTTAACAAGCCTGTTTGGTCAGATATGGAATAATCAGACAAATCAGACTTTGTTGGAATTCATTTACTGTTAGCACTGCGACAACTAACATGATGGCACGGTGACCGTGGTGGTCCTCCCTGATGAGCTGGTCTGCCTGGCATCAGAAATGCTGTTGCATTGGCTGAAGTTTACTAAAATCACTCAATGAAATGAGGTCTTAATTATAATAAAGCATTACACCTAGAAAACCTCACTGCAGTAGCTAAACAACCCCTAATAAAATAAACTAGATTGGATGACGTCAGGGTGGACTTACAAGGGCAATGGTCACCATATCGGCACAGTTCCTCTTAATGTAAAGTTTTTAATAAATAATTCTTTTTTCAAAGCAGCACCTTAGTGGCATTTTGCCCGTGCATATAATTATTGATTGCAAATCCTTGTTTCTGTTATTGTGGCCCGTGGCACAAAATCTTAATTTTGGCCACAAGATTGACCTGCTTGTTGGCCCGAGTAGCCAGTGCAAGTCTATCTACTCCTACTATATACAGTAGCACTGTTATTGTTTATATTGTTATGATTTATATGAGTAATCAAGTAATCTACCAGTTATTTTGATGAAGTAATCTAGTAATCAGTGTTTGTTTTAAGGCCAAACAATAAAAATAGGCTTAACTGAGCAATAACGTTATGCTGAACCTTTCAAAGAATCCAAAGTACGTTCTGGAAAAAAGATAAAATGCCTTTGAAAATACTTCATTTACATTAGAAACACTGCCCAAAAAATGTGTATAAATATGTGCGCCTGTCTGGCTGTTTCCTACTGTGAGAGAGCAGCAGGTGAAGTTAAAATATGCATTATTGTGGAATCTGCATGCATCCATATATTCAATTCAAAGCTTTTTAATTCATTTTTAACACTAAACTTTTGGAAGTTTGAAATTTGGAGAAATCTTTAATGCTTTTAATATTATTTATTTAATATATAATGATTAAATATATAATTTATTTATTTTATATATTTATTTTCTTTGTTGAAGTTGCAAAACACACCCCACAACAAAGATCAGCCAATCAGACCAGAGATCATTTGCATATATCAGTCTTAAAGGCACAGCAATGAAAATAGGCATAATTCAAAGGCATGAAGAGACTAAATTAATTATGAATTTTTGGTAAATCTGACCCTACAAATGCAAACAAAGGTAGATCTCAATGGAAAAGACATAAAAATACTAGAAAAACTAGGATATGGATCCTTTTAGGTTCATTTTTAAGATTACTGTAGTTTTAGTCTGTAATAAATATACAGGCTGTCAGCAGTCGACATTCAGTTTTAGCACTATTAGGTAGCTACAGTATTACCTTGTCTATACATCTGAAGATTCAGTGCTCTCTCTAACTGAAATCAGATACCTGCCTTTAAATTAGCAGCTCAAAAAGCAGCAGCACAGATCTGAATATGGTTCCATTTTCACCTCAGCTCGTGATTAGAGTCCAGTGTTTTAAGGGCATTTTCTTCTGCCTGGCATTAATAATGAATCAACCTGGTTAATTTACTTCTGCCTGACTTGGTCAGTTTCATTAGCTGTTCCTGAACGTGGAGGACTGTTGCTCCTCATCTGCGCGAAACTCGGACAGGCGTTGATATAAATCTCAGTGTCCATTTCAGGAATACACTGTCTGATGGTTATCTGGGTGGCCAGGCCCAGGAGGGGAGAAATAGAGAGGGGGTGTGTGTGTAGGTATGTGTGGCCTTGTATTTTGCTCTGTATGGGATCCAAATGTCTCCGAGATGATAGAAAATATTGATGATATGAAAATATTATATTCTGAAAAAAATCACTTTTAAAAAGTAAACAGAATAATATTCCTTTTTTAAGTTAAAATTCGGGTTTAGGTTTAGTAGTAGCGGATTAGCTGCAGTAAAGCAGACGTCAGTGGAAATACCCCACAAAGCCAGTAATACACTTGTAAAACTTGTAAACTTGGGTATGTGTGTGAGAGCGTGGGTGGTTGAGGGCGTCTCTCAGTTTAGTTTATTTTCTACAAAGGGGTCATTGTGAAGTGACTCGCAGTTCTTTACAGGGACACTTAGACATGCCACGATATGTGTATTACCTCCTTATTGCTAGGGCTGTTCCATTGTGTCTGACATTGACAACCAGCGGTATTGTCTGTATATGCTGGTAATTAGTGGCCTTTTTTAAATGTATTAATTTATTTTTTAATGATCTTCTAATGATTAAAACTTTAAACAGTTCTGCCACTTGGGAACCCAATACAGAGCGCCTCCTCTTTAAGCAACACAGGCTAACCTGATGAAACTAACTAACTAACTAACTTACTCACTTAATCACTTACTTACTAACTTACTCTCTTACTCACTTAATCACTTACTTACTAACTTACTCACTTAATCACTTACTTACTAGCTTACTCTCTTACTTACTCACTTAATCACTTACTTACTAACTTACTCTCTTACTCACTTAATCACTTACTTGCTCACTTACTCTCTTACTTACTCACTTAATCACTTACTTACTAGCTTACTCTCTTACTCACTTAATCACTTACCAACTTACTCTCTTACTCACTTAATCACTTACTTACTCACTTACTCTCTTACTTACTCACTTAATCACTTACTTACTAACTTACTCTCTTACTCACTTAATCACTTACTTACTAACTTACTCTCTTACTCACTTAATCACTTACTTACTAACTTACTCTCTTACTCACTTACTTAATCATGTACTTACTAACTTGCAAAGTCGCTTACTCACTCACTTACTCACTTATTCGCTTCCTTACTCACTCACTTCCCTACTCACTCACTGACTTACTCTCTCACTTACTCAATAACTTACAAACTCACTTACTTGTCACTGTCGTAACAAAACAGACAAAAAAATATCCAAAATGGTAAATTTTCTGAAGAAGGGAAACCCATGCTTGTATTTTTCATATTTTTATTAAGATTTCATTTCAGGACTGACCATTGAAACTGACAGTCATATCTGTGAGTATATAGTGTACATTAAAGAATATACAATTAAAATCTAATATTTACATATAAAGTAATATCAGATTTTACTGGTTATATGAATTTTTACCCTCCTAAGAAAGTTATTGGTATCCACAACAGAATTTTCCCATCAGTTGGGCTGGACTTGATGATTCTACTCTCAACTCTGAAAGAAGAGAATGTACAAAAGAAAAAAATGGGCTTTGAATCATGAAATCTTTCTGACCCCTGACGCTGATGTAATGGATATATTATAAATACATTGTTCGTACATCTGGATGTTTTGCCGAAGCGAGCGCTTATTTATGTTCAGGCCCAGGACTCTGGTGTAAACTCAACACCCGGGATGCGAATGTTTGTAGTACGGTTTGATTTGGGATGACTTGTGTGTTGAGCTGTCAGTCAGCCAACCTGCCCCCCTCCCTCCGCCCCGCCGGCCATTAAAAAACCATCGGCCTGCCGCTCTTCTGGGACCAATCCGAGCAAATATATCCATTTCAATCGAACGTGTTTTGTTTTGCGAGCGAGTGTGTTTTCCTGGGCTCCTCTGCAGAGACTCACTCTGAGGTTGGGTTCCCATCACTCGTTCTCTCCTTCACCTCCTCCGTCCCAGAAGAGAAGGAGAAAGAGAAACAACAAAAACAAGAGTTGGATATCTCTCAGCCCACACCTTTTTTGTCTGGACGCTCATGGACGTGTCGTGCTGAGTTTCCGTGCCGGAAAAGTTCATCGCGGTGTGGGAAAAGACAGGGTGTGTTTGTGTGTGTGGGAGGAAAACAGTCAGGCCAGCAAGCAAACAAACAAGTCCAGTCCAGCCAGAGGAAAAAAAAAAAAGAGATGAGTCTGGTAGAAAAGTCAAATTGAGCGAGGAAGGTTGATGTGTTTACAGTTTGGAGCGCTGAACTCGAAACCCTGCTCATGCACTCGCTTTGTTTTAACAGCTGCGCTTCTTTTCCTCTTTTCCGTCGCAGGCCTTTGAGTCATGATGCAAGAGGCGGGGCCAGAGGCGCCGAGCAACGGGACGACAAATCAGAACGGGGTGGCAGCCGGTGCAGAGGGCGGGGCTAGAGACGTGCGGTCAAAAAGTGCCACACCTTCCTCTGACATCACGGCCGCTGACCTTGTGAACTTTCAGCAGCAGCAGGTAAACGTCTTATCTGTTTCCTTCCTCATTGATCTCGCCTCCACACTTCTCAACCACGTTTCACAGCAGCCATAAGAGGTGTGTGATTTTCCTCTTTTGGAGAGGTCCCTCAGTTTAACTCTGCATATTTTCCTTCAGGAAGGTTGATGGAATACATTTGTTGGAAAAGTGTGAGTGAACTGAATTTTAACAACACACTACTATTCACAATATTTCATTTTTCTAATATTTAATAAGCTGGAACAGACAAAACTGCAAACTGTGCTGCACTAAATCCAATTAAACAGGCACAATTATGCTCACTTTGTAAAGAAAGATGCAGATTCGGTGTTCTTTAAGTTCTGATGATATCCACGATATGCTCAGAAAAGAATATTGTGACCATTTATCATGATAACAGTAAATATCGCCCAGCCTTATTTGTAGGTGAACAAGCAAGTCAACAATTATAAAAGTGTTCTCACTGTGTTTTATTACATTTAATTGGTACTTCTTTACTTTGGTAGCAACATTAGATGATTAACAAGTATGGTGAAACATTTACAACTGGCCGATTGTTATACAGGCCAGACATTTGCCTGTAGCAGTAACTTGCTGTGTTTACATGCAAAGATTTTTGCCAATGTGATTGAATACACTCTGAGTATAGATTCAGACTGAGGTGTTTATGCTCACTCTATTCAACAATCTGATGAAAATCTCCATTTACATGCGCTCTACAAGTTGACGAGCATGCGTAGAGAACCACTAAGTGTAGATGTTACCATGACAACTAGCATCACGTGAGTCCAGTCAGAGTGAGATGAGCAGCAGTGAGCAGCGCTTGTGTTTTTAGTTGCTTTAAAATGATGTCAGACTCAGGAAAACGTCCTTCACATGTCCTTATTAAAGAAGGCCGAGAGGAAGACGTCGTGTTCCGAGACACATGAGCTGGACGTCCGTCCCACCGCCGTCTTTTAAAGACCAGAGCATAAACTTCGCCTCCTCTGCAGAGCAGTTTCTGCTCCGCCATGCTGAACGGTATAAACTTTCACTATGACGTGACGAACATGATCAGAACGGACTTAAACTTTCCGATAGGGAATGTAATCAGATACAGGCGTTTACACGGATATTATTCTTCTATTTAACGGATTATTTACAGGATTACCCACCTCGATCATTCAGACAGTAATTGTATTCTGAATGGCCTCAATCGGACTAGACTATTCTGATTGAGGAGTATACATGGACGTATTGTATTGTTTTAATGGATTATTAGGCTGCATGTAAGTGTGGCTACTGTTTCAGAAGTATTAGTTTCCTTTTTAAATCATCAGCTGTAAAGACAGGGAAATAAAACTTTATAAATTCTAAGTGCATGTTGTTGGCAAATGTTTTGTACTTTAAATTTTATTGCCTGAAATGGACATTGTATTAGGGACTAATTCTGACCATTGGCACAAAAGCTCCTCATTTACTGAATAGCATTTATGTAGCTGGGTCTCCTTCCACATATTTGTTGTCTTTTTTGACACATTGAATAAATAGGACAAGTTGGAATTGGCAAATATTGAATAAAAAGTCTTGAAAATCTGCATAAAAATTTGTACGATCACTTGAAGTGAATCTATTTTTTTTTTTTTTGCTGATAGAAAAGAAATGTGATGATGATGGAAATGTATTTGTTAAAGAAATAATGTAAATATGAATGGACTAAAGTCTTGTTCCATTTTTTTTTTTTCACGGCCGTTACTGTAAAACAGGCAGGTACCAGTGGCCTGTGAAGAAGATAAAATGTACCTTTATCTTATCAAAGGAAAAAAAAAACATAACATCAATATTATACGGTAAACAAACTGCGCTGCGGCTGATCTTGAGCTGTTGTACTTGTCGGTGCTTTCTGACTCCTGTGATATAAAATACAGCCATAAAATTAAACAAAACAAAACGAGAAGTGTCTCATCATTAAAGATTTCTCTGTAAACTCCCTCCACATTTCTCAGAAGTGCTTTTACAGATGTGATGTAGAGTTTTATTCTCTTACTCAGAGCTGATGGAAACATTTTTTATTTTTTTTTTGCAACATTCCAGTTAATCATTTGAATGTAATTTGAAAGTTGGATAGAAACCTGGCTTGTGTTGTTAATACTGGTCAAAAACCAGCTTGACATTTCTGTGAAGAAGTGTGATTTATCTTTTCTGAAACTCCTGAACTTTTTTCAGCCAGTCTCTGAATTCATAAGCCAACAAACTTATGAGTAAATGTGCTATCTTCTTCCCTCTCTCTCTCTCTCTCTCTCTCTCTCTCTCTCTCTCTCTCTCTCTCTCTCTCTCTCTCTCTCTCACCTGTCCTTTATTAACGCATGTCATCAGCATACCCCTCTCCCTTCTTTAAGTGCTAGTTAATATTTAATCATCCCTCCCTCCCTCCCCAAGTACATAAACACATTATTATGATTATTTATGTATATTGAAGGCACGTTGAATTTTTAAAACACTCTAAAGTGCTCTTTTGGTGATTGTGTGTTTGGTTTGCCAATGTGTTTATCCTAGCATGCCTGCATCCGCATTCCAGTAAAATATTTATTGCAAACGAGTCGTCAGCACTGAAGGAAAAGCAAAAGAAACGCATGTGCGATGGAGTTCCCGGACAGGGGAAGGCGCGCATTTCGCCCGTCGCGTTGTAAATACGACAGGTGTGACGGGACGTTGGGGCGTCTGGCTAGTCAAGCGTGGTGCGCGGTGTCCGACTTTTATGCTGCATTTTCATAACGCTTCCCTTGCCAACTGTTGACCTCTTTGGGGGCGTGTCACTAACATGAAAGCAAGTTTAGATGTTGAGTAAAAGGGTGTACAGAGTTGTGGACTACTTCTGTGATGACAACAGGTCTAATATTGTCTAGAAATTAATTATAAATTAATAATGAACTTGATGTCGTCTACCATTCAGTGTGTTTGTTTGTTGAATCTTTTCAGCACTGATTTCAGTGTATAGCTACTAGGGCTGTGTTAAAAATAGCATTTTAGGCTGCGTTCAGACAGCAGAGTGTATTCCGCCCATAACACCACTATGTCTAATGGCAGGATGTGGGCCTTTGCTCATTCTGCCACAGTTTTTTCCCACCAAAGTTTGCAGATTTTTCTGCCTGAGATCCTCGCAAACCGAGTTGAAATATGTTCAACTTAAGTGGAAAAGCTCTGCTTGTCATGTGTCACTTTTCACAAGGTAACCAAACAGAAAGGAGGCCAGGTAAACTGAATCAGAGAGCGAACATGGGCCTGAACAGTAGGACAGGTTTGCTCGCATTTGAAAAAAAAAACATTTAGCTTGGAAATGTGTATTCACTGGCATATGCACCATCCTGTACACTCTTATCAAAAAAATAGTCTTGGGAAATAGATGATGAGCACATTTCACCCCTGTAGCTTGGTGAGTAGTTTACTAATGTAGAATAGAGTAGAGTCTCTTTGCTGGTTGTGGTTTTAATGTGCTTGCTAAAGTTAGCTCATTTTTGCGCTGATTTAAGAAGAAGTAAACCTGTTAAAAGTGCACTATGTGCTGTTTTCTTTAGTCTAACAATTTTAATGTGATGTGTGGCTTCAAGCTTCCTGCCCATAACGCCACCCGTAAAGATCTGCTCCCCTCATTCTCTGCCTTGCAAAACTTATCACAGGCAGATTCCTTGCAGTTCAGATGCTGATTTTTTGTGGAACATGCTTCACCGTCTGAACGCAGCCTTAAGCAGTAGAACATATGAAGTTTGTTTTTGTGAATAACGCCACAACTGTGATACGGTTGCAGGCACAAGCTGAAGGCAAGTACAGTAGATCGTAACAGCTGTATTCACGATATTGCACAACCGTGTTCTGTTGCTTTTATTCAAGTTATGCAAAAAAGAAAGAAAAAGGTAAAGCAGAGAAGCCCCCATCATTGTATCAAATGTGCTTTAGCATAAAAAAGTAATACCTTTTTGTGTTACAGATAAAGCCATAAAATGTCACAATATCAGGTTCAGCTCAGCTTTTCAGTGTTTCCAGTTGTACCTGAATATGGTTTTGTTCCAGTCGCTCTGTCAAGCATTTTACTGAACTTGTTTATTGAATTGTATTCTGTTAGTTTCTGACTAATTCCAGTTTGTTTAGTTGTTCACAGCTGCCAACTGAAAAGCTCACTTAGGATCAACGACGGGTTCAGAAATTAATGTATTTCTTCTGTCGCTCTATTTCAGAATCTGACCAGACAAATGCTTTCTTATAGTGGTTATCTAATGTGTGCATTTTCTGGTTTTGTATATGTAGGAATTTAGTAGCGGTTAGCTGCCTGAATAATAGTTATTGTGGAAGAACAGTCCTCAAACAATTACATTGTGCCCTCAGAACTGTTATATAAGCGACAATATATTGTTGATAAACACTTGGTCATACGTGTATCAATACAGTGACGGCAGTGTCAATATTTATGATTGTACTTTGATGCTGCATTCAAAGCTGAGAGTGTAATGTTTATAATATCCAGGACCTAGCAAACCTGTGCTATATAACAGGTAGGGTTTTACTCTTTTATTTAGTATGATGGTGTGTTGGAGAAGGCGCTTAACTCTAGTCCACCGTGCATTATAGAGCACAGACTACTACCTGTGCTGCTGCCTTTGCGTCAACAGATGTAGAAAGTTCAGTCTTCTTGTCTCAGTGTGCTCTGACTAGCACCTCAGAGTGAAACTAGCAGTTTATGTATTATTATTGTAGTTAGTTTTAAAATAACATTTTTTTTTTTAAATGTCTGTTGTGCATCTGATTTAATACATCATATCATGACAAGTTGCACCCAGTACCCAGACTAGCATGCCACGTTTCAACAATGTGATTGGCCACCGCCTGGCAAAATATACTTCTCATTTGCATAAATTTCAGAAATTCTTGACTTTTTCTCCTCTAATTACTTGCTTTGCTGCCTCTCCCACCTCCATCCACACAGAACTCCAGGCTAGAAGAGAAATGAGAGGCAAGACAAAAAACTG